AATTAAATAATAATATAATAATAATAATAATATAAATATACGTATAATAATAAGATATTTTATTCATAATAAGTATACATAAATACGAATGAATACATACAGCGAAATATTGACGTTAGGATTAATTTAAACAAACAGTGACAAAAAAAATCCTAAAAAATCACACAATTAATCCGTAATCCCATCGATATATAATAAAATAACGTCAAGATTATTATTATTAATAATTATTGTAAAGTGTGATAAGACGATGTTTATTAAATATAAGATCCAATTTAATTTCGAGCTTTCCCGTTATATTCAAATTAATATTGTTTATAAATTTGTAAAAATATCCAGTATCTTAATATTTATATAATAATAATAATAAGAAAAATAAGAAGAAAAAAATGAATGAAATGAACAGACGCGTATATTTGTGCATGTATAAATTAAAAAAAAAAAAGAAAACAAATGTTGATTAAATTGATAATGAGAATTAAATTAATTAATTAATTAATTAATGAAATATTGCAAAGAAAAAAATTACTGATCTCGGAAAAGCTCGAAATTGATTCATCGAAAGAAGAAAAAGAAGAAGAAGAAGGGAAATGAAAAAACAAAAAATTAATTAATTATATAAATAAAAATAAAACCCTACCGAATTCCATTTATTTCATACTCGATGTAATTATGTAATAAATATTGCTATCAAAGGTGTCAATCTCATCTCTCTCGATGGTACTTAAGACGAATTACAAAAAAAAAAAAAATAACAAAAAGAATAAACAAGAAAAAAATGGATACAAAGGAGGTCAAGAACAACAAGAAAAATTAAATAAATTAAGTAAATTAGATATAAATTAAATATAAATTAAGTAAATGAAATAAAGAAGAATAATAATAATAAAAAAAAAAATAGGGAAAATAAGGTATTTTTTTCTCATGGCTAAAAAAAAAAACCAAACCTCCTTTAATGTACTTGGATCTTAATCCGATATGCGGCTTAAGCATGAAATCATACATTTTTTTTGTACATACACACGTTACATATACTTCGACACAACAACAAAAAATTATAATAACAATAAAACACATGCATATTATAATAATTACTACTACTACTACTCCTAAAATACTACGTGGAAAAAAAGTAAATAAGGAAAGAAAAGAATTAAAAATAAAATGGAAAAAAAAAAAGAAAAAAGAAAACAGGACTTGTATGATGCGAAAAAAGTGTTGTGTAAGAATTAATTCCTTTTCAAGAAATATCGTTGCAAATTCAATGGTCCGAATTTGCGCGTTTAATGCGTATTATAATAATAATAATAATAATAATAATAATAATAATAAACAATTTCATTCGATATCGTTTTAATATATGCGATATGTATTTTTGTGAAACAGTATTGAAAGTGCTACTGTTGTACAGTTATTATTACGTGGGTAAAATAAAGAAACAATGATAAAAAAAAAAAAAGAAAAAGAAGAAAAAATATTACACATACGGAACAAAAAAAAAATAAATAAATAAAAAACCATACACGAACACTGTAATGTACCTAATAATGTACATAGGATATATTTAATTAAAGTGAATATGAATTTGTGTAATCATCCTGTCTCAATCATTTATCCTTTTATTCCTGAGTAATATATATTTTTATTTTCTTTTTTGCAGTTACAAGAAAATAATAATAAATAAATTTATTATAATAATTATTAATATTATTATATATATATATGATCGGTATAGTCTTCGATGGTATCCTGAAAAGAAGAATAAGAAAATATGGTAATGTAAAATAAATATATATTTAAAATACAAAGTATTGTTAAATACAAAATAAAATTCTTGTTCTTTTGAAATTATTTCTTATATACCTAAAAAAAAAGTAAAAATTGAAATAACACTAATGTAACAAAGATGACATGCTAATTAATGTTGCATTTTTTAAATAAAAATTGATACAATAATTTAAAATGTATTTAAAATTAATATAGAAAAGACAAAAATAATTTCTTTCAAAATCTGTAGATAATAAAAAAAAACTACGATAAATGTACAAAAAAAAAAAGAAAAAAAGAAAGTACGAGTATTTAGTAGAAAAATCAATGCTTTAAATTTCAAAAAAAAAAAAAAACAAGATAAATAAAAAAGAAAAATAGAAGCAAATATGTACAAGGACCTTATGGAAGGATCTACGAGGTACTATTTATCATGTACCACTACACAGATACATCACAAAAGTGTGATTGTATATATATATATTTGAGACTGACGATTTATACGATGTAGGGAAAATATCGTTGAAACTTTTTCACGTGTTACAGGTTACAGTCATCTCCATATACTGTAACTGGAGAGGACAACGGGGATACGGCTACTTCTCATCGGAGAATACACATGAGAACTCGATATTTCATATTCTCCATTTTCAGATACCATATGGACGTCTCGACATCGATATTCCAAAAGTACCAGAAAACCTTTTGCTATTGGCTATTACTTGTGACTCGAAGGATTCGTCAAAATAATTTCAAATCAAAATAATCTGATATCTCACGTTATTTTATTTTATTTTTTTTTTATTTTCCCTTTGTCTTAATATACATATATATATAATAATAATATAATAACATTAATAATATATTAATAATTATAATTTTTAATTATTTAATTATTATAATTATTTATTTATTTTATTATTTATTTTATATATTTAATATTTATATTATATTAATATTAGTAATATATTAATAAAATATATAATAATATAACCATATTATATATATATATATAACAATTACGAATAATACACGGGTAAGTAAGTACTTAAGGGTGTATATTAAAAATTGAACAGACCCAAACGAATTGTGAAAAGAAAATAGGGAAAATATTTACTTAAAAAAAAAAAAGAAAAAAAAAATCTAGCACACAGACACAAATGAGATGATAAGAAGTTAATTGAAAGGAAACACAAAAGAGGGGTTGTTCTAATAAATTTTCTCCTCCATTGTTCTACAATGTGATGAAATATTTTATAAGATACTCCTTTCTCGTTCAACTACCAAAATTTATTTGCTTTTTTTTTTTTTTTCTTTCACGTTACATTTCTATCATGTACCGTGCACATGATATACGTAAAAGTACTGTTAAATTATTTATATCAAAAATTCAACCAGTTGTATATACGTTCGTTATCGAATAACACAAATAGTAGGATAATGAAAATGAGCTGTAAAAAGAAACAAGGACGAGAAAAAATAGAAACTGGCGTAATTTTGGAAAGGTAAGCTTGATTACATTATTTCTTTTTTTTTTTTTTTTCTTTACATGTATGAATTTATACTCTGATTGCAAATTCTTATCCACACACACACACACACACACTTACGTAAGACGATAAGAGTCAAAAAAAAAAAAATAAAAAGAAAAAGAACAAAAAAAAAGAAACGAGTGCTGTGATTTGTTTCCTTTTGAAGGAAAAAAGGATCCCGTTGAGAAAAAGATAAAGAAAGTAACGTGATTGAAGTAGAATTTCGTTTATAATCCTTTGAGTGTGTCAGAATCATTCTCTCTTTCTCTCTCTCTCCCTCTCTTTCTTTTTCTCTGTCTCTCTTAGATTCGTTTTGCTAGCTCTCGTAATTTCTAAAAATATACTCGCCTCATTTTCCTCTTAAATATAATATTCTCAAGAGTCTACCTTAACGACTATGTTTGTTTAACATTTTATTTAACGACAATATATAGTATAACGTGATTTAAATTCTCAACGATGATGAAAACGAACGAAACAAAATTTTGAAACTTTAAAACTTAAACTAAAACGTAACACACACAAACACACACACACACATACTCGTCGTAATCCATTAACATCTAATAAAAACTGAGAAGAAATGTTAATAAAGGTCTTCTGTATATATTAAATGATTTAAATAAAATAAAATAAAATAAATAAAATAAAATATAGTATGGAATAATCTCTTGAATGGTTAAAGAAAAGAAAAGAAAAAAAAAGAGAGAGAGAAGAAAAGAACAGAAGTAATGAAGAAAGAAAGAAATAAAGAAATAAATAAAGAAAGAAAAGAATATTCGCAAATAAAATGACGAAGTAATGAGACTCATGCGATTCTACGTTCATTCAAACGTTTAAATGGTCGTGTTAACGTCGTGTAAACAAATCTTTTTTACCCTGGAAAGCCGTCTTTTTTAATATTCAATGAGGGCGAGGAGAAAGATGAGAAAAAGAAATAAAGTTTAACTCGTTGGTAATATATATATATATATAACTAAGAAAAGTAAATGTCTAGCGTCTAGCAAAATCAACGTTAACGCACTCGAGTTCCATTTAATTTTATTTACCAATGGGACCCTTCCTACTTCTGTCCCATTTCTAAACTTCCTCTATTTATTACGCTTTAGAACTATGCTTTAGAAAAAGAGGATAATTAAGAGGGTAGTTTAATAATTGTCCAAAATATATATATATATATATAACTATTTGGATTTACTAATGTATAAGTAAAACACCAATAATGTAATTTAAGTTATTTATAATTTATTATTAATTATATTATTATTATTATTATATTATATATTATTATTATTATTAATTATATATTAAAATTTAATTTCTTTATATTTATTACATTATATTAACAAATTAATAATTCTAATAATAAAATATTATTAAAATATTTCTTAACATCATATTCTTTTGTTTCTTTACAATTTCAACAAAGTACGATAAATAATGATATATTTATATATATTTTAATAATTATATACAATATTTATATAATAAATAAAAACATAAATTCAATAAATAACATTATTAATTATCCATTAACTTGAATTCATTTAATTTACTTCTGCGGGAAATCCCCGTTTCCCGCCTATCAATTTTAAAATGTAGTTGAAACGTAGACCGCTAGAGGTCAGCACGTCAATGGCTAGCTCATGATGCGTTAATAGTAAAAAGAATAAGAGAGCGAGTGAGAGAGTGAAATAAAGTTAAAAAGATAGAAAGAGAAAGGTATATCCAGCAAGTCAGCCAGCCGGCCGGCTGAGTTTCATTCATAAAATTCATCGAATCGGCTGACTTCTTGTGCTCGTTGGTTCTGCAAACGTGTCAGTGGATTGATTATATTTTTTCTTTGCGATGACTTTACAAGCTATCAAGTGGAAAGATGGAAAGTTGGAAGTGCTCGATCAAGTATTATTACCAGCAGTTTCTAAATACATCGTTGTCAAGGGTGTCGAGGATGGTTGGAAGGTCATCAATAAGATGCAGGTACAGTTCCAGACCACGTTTCACTTCTTTAACGACATTTAACTTTTTTGTTGTTTCTATCTTTTTCTTTTTTAACTTTGCATTACATTTCTTACTTTTAAACATATACATACAATTTACATTATATTTTTGATATTATTTCTAATTGAAATTTAGAAATAACATATTAAAATGAAATGTGAGATTATTTACTTTCAAATGACAGAGAACATATGTACCATCATTTTATGATGTTTGCATATGTTATCATCATTTCATGTTTAATCTATGCAATTAATTGATATGCTTGATGCTTTATATAGTCAAATGTTTGATTATATTTTGGAAGTAATGTACTATTTTATATTTTCCATATGTTGTTCATATGTTGAACATATTTATGTTTTCAGGTTAGAGGTGCTCCAGCTATAGCTATTGTCGGTTGTCTTAGTTTGTCTACAGAGGTTAGAAATGAACATTTTACGGATAAGAAATCATTACGTCAAGAGGTCGAAGGAAAATTGAATTATCTTGCGTCAGCAAGACCTACTGCTGTTAACATTAAGATAGCAGCAGAAGAGCTTATCAATTTAATCAATAAACTCACAGAAGATGATACTGTAACGATACAGCAAATGAAAGAAGAGTACGTTGAATTTTTGAATCATTAAATATTCTTAATGTATTATTCATTTATTTGTATTCAGTTTATTCACTGTATTACAGATTTTTACGTACAATAGACTCCATGTTACAAAGAGACATTGCTGATAACAAAGCAATTGGAAATTATGGAGCATTAGAAATATTGAAAAATGTTAACGAGGATAGTTTAGTTAGAATTCTTACTCATTGTAATACTGGTAGCTTAGCAACTGCTGGTTATGGAACTGCTTTAGGTGTAATCAGATCTTTAAAAGCAAGAAACGTTCTTGGTAAGTTTCATGTATATCATGTTTATCTAATTATTAAGATGAGATATTTTCAGTGTAAAGAATTCGAGATCTTGTCTGCAGAACATGTTTACTGTACTGAAACAAGGCCGTACAATCAAGGAGCACGTTTGACTGCGTATGAATTGGTCAATGATAAGATACCAGGGACTTTGATTTGTGACGACATGGTTGCAGCATTGATGAAATCTAGAAATATTACTGCAGTTGTGGTTGGTGCTGATCGAGTAGCTGCCAATGGTGACACTGCTAATAAAATTGGAACATATCAGGTAAAGATATTTGACCTTTTGTTTTGTACAATTTAGTTTATAATAAATTAATAAATGAAACATACATTAATAAATGAAACATTTAGATTGCAATTATAGCAAAATATCACAATGTACCATTTTATGTGGCGGCTCCAAGAACATCGATAGATTTTGCAATACCTAGTGGTGATCATATAGTCATTGAAGAAAGACCTGAGAGAGAAATGACTCACATTAATGATCAACGTATAGCTGCGAATGGTATACAATGTTGGAATCCAGCATTCGACATAACTCCTGCCAGTCTTATAAAAGGCATAATTACAGAGGTCGGTGTTTATAAGCCTGAAAATTTAATCAAACTATTCCTACAATAGGATTTATAATCATATGGCTTACAATAAACGACCACGCTTAAAATAAAATATAATAATGAGATGACTACAATAATAATAATAATAATAATTATAATAATAATAATAAAAAGAAAAGAAATATAGGGGAAAAAAGCAAAGAGAAAATAATATTCGATCAAACAATGCATGCAAAATTGGAACCAAGTGCCAAAATGGGTTCATATACCTTCTAAGTATTATTCTTTGATATTATTGCCAATCAATTGTAGTTTTTGATAAGTGCACGAAAAATAATATTCCTATACTACGATCAATAACGATGACAACAAAATATATAAATGTCTACTACGTTAAAATAATACAAAATCTGTATATAATTTTCTAAGGGGAATTTTTTATTTTATGAAAAACAATTACTATAACATTTTTTTAAACAACGTTTATACATTGTTAAAAAAAAAAAACAAATACTAAAGAGATCAATTTTCTCGTTGATCGATACATTGTTATTAAACAAAAAATGATATGATATTAATACGATGTAGCGCTTATAATAATAATAATAATAATAATAATAATAGTAATAATAATAATAATAATAAAACAAACTTTTGCATTATACACTTAAAGTATTTTTATTTTAATATCACCAAACTTTTGAATGTGTACTGAACTTTTGTTACAAAATACGAATGAAAATTTGAAACGTCATATCAATTATTTTATCGATACGAGAATAATTATTTATTTCGATACGATTATATGTATTAAAACAAAACAAAAAAGAAATTAAATAATTAACACCTACAAAAGGATTGACTGAAGATCGTGCGAATATGATATATGATATTATCGCTACTAACAAATACAGGATTACAATGTTGTGTTTGCCTCTGATTGTGTTATTCATGGCATTACCGCATGAAGGAGCTTAACAGAGAGATTAAACGATCGTTGTTATAGGAAACTGGGAGTATGATGAAAGAGACAGAATGAGTGAGAGAGAAAGAGAGAGAGATAAAGGGATGAACGAATTTTAATGGCATCGTGCTAAAGATGCAATGGTAACGTGTTCTAACACAAACCAACTGGAATAGGTAAGCTCGAAATACTGAAGTGACAAAGCTCATCCTTTAATCTCTTCATGGAATTTCGTTTCTCTTTCTCTCTCACGATTAATTTTTGTTTCTCTTTCACTCTTTCTTTCACTTTCTCTCTCTCTCTCTCTCTCTCTCTCTCTCTATCTCGTTCTCTTTCCCCTATCGTTTGTTTCATACACCCACTCTCCCATCCAATAATAAACGAAAATGGAAAATTAAATAAAACAAAAATCGAAATTGAATTAGTCGGTACGATCAAAAAGGGATTGTGTGTTTTATCGAAGAAAATAAATAATTAATTACAAATATTATTCCCATGCACGTACATATATATATATATACCAATATCTTTCAATTTGTAATCTTCGTTTAATTAATTCATTTTGTTTAAAATGTTCACCTTTTTAATAAATTAAATAATATTAGATTTACGTACTGAGAGCCAATTTCACTAATTTGCAAATTTTTTGCTATATATATATATATATATATATATATATATATATATATGAAATAATTTTCATTCATACATATAGAAATAATATTCAATTGGAAAAATAAGATAAAATTATATTAAAATAAATAACACAATTATTTAAATATAATTATTGTTTATTAATATAAACATCAGTGGATTTTGGCAATAACGATTCAAGTTGGTATTTTAATAAAAAGAGAATAAACAAAAAAATAAAAAAATAAAATACTCGGTGTTGCGATGAGAAACCTTACACGAAGAAAAAGAAGACCCCCATAAAATACGTTGTAGGATTTCTCTATGTTAAATAGGATGAAGCTTCCTTTTTTCACAATAAATAATAAACTCATTGAAAGAAAGAGAAAGAGAGATAGATAGATAGAAACTAGACTCTTGATTTTAGTACCTTTTTCGTTGCACTTTGATGAATTCAAATAAAAATAGGGAATTTAGAGTAGAGGAATTTCTCTCTTTGGTTACTACTGCTGTGTGCTATTTGTTTAATCGAAATAAACATTGAATGGTACGATGCTACGTTAGGGAAGGATTCTGCTATTTTATGCTTTTAGGTTTTAGGTTTTTCTTTAATCGGTGCTCTCTCTTTCTCTTTCTCTTTTTTTTGGAATAAGCTTTATACTGTGCTAACATTCATTCGAGACCACTGCACATTTCCACAAATGCTCAAAATCTTAACGAATTGATCTCAAAGAACGTGAAACATCGAATGGGAACAATGTCGTTGAAAATTCAGCTTCTAAAGTAGCCTTTTATCAATTTCTATATTGAAATATTTAGCTTGGTTAAACCAAGAGTATAATAATCTTTGAATTTGGTATATCTCACATATATACATATTTATCTAAATAAGAGATAAAATAATACTTTTATTTAATACTACATTTATGGGATAAGAGCCAATTTGATTCATTATATTCAAATTTGATTACTATGTATATAAAACTTAAATATTGATTATAAAATCAATCTTTCTCTTACAATCTACTCTTTGTTCAATCCTTCATTCAAACAATATTTGTAAATTATTAAAAAAAAATATTTAAAAAGTTCAACTTGTTTAATAATTCAAAAATATAACAAAACATATTACATCCAACGTGTTACCTAAGTAACTCAAAGTAAATCCAATTAGACGAATTACCTAAACGATATTTGTAAGGTTTCTTTATTGTACAATACCTTTCAAAAGTAATCGTTAAAAAAAAGGTACAAAATCTCGATAAAGTTAAATTACTTTTTTGTCCTATTTCTAAAAACATTACAAACGAAAACGAGAAACGTAGACTTTTGTCGGTACGCGTTATGTTCCTAAGGGAAAACTTTCGAGATTCTATTTTGATCAGTTGGGAAAGTGTAAAGGCGCTGGTTACCTCGAAGAAGCCGTCTTGGTCGTCATCGTCGTCGTCATCCTCGTCGTTGTCGTTGTCGTCGTCGTAGTCGTCGTAAGTTGGAAGAAGTGGCGTGGTTCTCGTCGTAAAACGTAGAACGTTTTGTGTCGGTGGTTTTTAGTATTGGCAGTCTCTCCGTAGAACGAACTTCGTATGATCGCCATTAATTTTATTGACGATCCCGACGAATTATAATATTATTTTTCTTTTTTTTTTTTTCCTATCTTTCCGAACAACTCAAAGCTTCTTAAGTAATTATTAATATTTATTTAATAATATTTTGTTATTTTATTTCGAGTAAGTGTTTGTTATTTGTTCGTTAATACCCAGTTCGCTAATTGCTTCTCAAGCACAATTATAATATTTATTTATAATAATATTTCGTTATTTTATTCTGTCCAAGTGTTTATTTTTTTCGTTAATACTCAGTTAATTAAATTTACATTTACATTTTTTTCTATTTTTCCAAATCGTGTTTTGTAGCGGTGAAAAATCGGTGAATAAAATTAAAGGACAAAAATAAAAAATAAAACAAATAAAATAATTCAAAGTGAATAATAAATTAATTATTATAGTTGATATTCGTCGATAAAGGTGAAAAGTAACGAACATAATTAATAAAATAAAAAAAAAAATAAAAATTACGGGACAAAAAAATTATAATAAACGCGTGATTATTATCGTTAAGCGATGGATGTGACGGATGAACCTTACGATTCCGTCGCTCCAACCGATTACGAGGAGGATAACAAATTAACCGTGGAAAATAATAATAATAATAATAATGATAATATTAAGAACGAGGATGACAATACGGCCACGGTCGAGGAGACCTACGAGGTCACAACAACAAAACGTAAGACCGTTCGCACCAGCTATAAGATACAAGAAGTAAGTGTCGACAACGTATACATGATGTGCACCCCCATTACTGTTTTCACTCTTAGTAGAAATTATCATCTATTTTATACGTTCAAATTTCACCATTGAAAGAGATGCCAAATACATGCCATGTGTTATTATTCACGTTTACACGTTACATGTGGTATCATACTTTGTTACTACAAATTACGTATGTTAAGACAATTTTGATTTTACTTTTTCTTCTTCTTTTGTGACTTCATCATTTTCTTACTCGAAAAAAAAATATTCTTTCAAAATAATTGCTAAGTGATTTATACATTAAATTTATTTATCATTTTATCTGTTTGATATTGCAATACAATTTCAAATGAAAGATTTTCCATTTAATTATTATTATAGAACAATATTTTTCTTTTGATTTAATTGTATTTCTTTATTTTGTATAATATTCTTTATATTAATTATTTTATTTATTAAATTTGAATTATTCAAACACGAAAAACTGTCTTTAAAAATAATTCCAAAGCGATTTATGCACACAATTCTATTTATCATTTTATTTATCTAATATTTCACACTATTTCAAAAATCAAAAGATTTTTCATTATTATATTAATTAAACATTATTCATTATTATATAATAATAATAATAATAATAATATTTGTTTGAATGGTTTTCTCGAACTCCAAAAAACTCCTTTTTTTTAAAAACAATTCCATCTTATTTATACATCAAATTTATTTCATCATTTTATCCATCTGATATATTTCAATAGAATTTCAAACGAAAGATTTTTCATTCAAGAAAATATTATTATTATTATTATTATTATTATGGTTATTTCTTATGATATTAGAAATAGTTCGTACATAAATTTATTTAACAGAATGAATTTATTTTTAAACACGTATCATTCATATTCAATTTTATAGGATATTCTTCCCATCCCTCCCCCAACCAACCAACCTCACTTCCCCTTTATTCCAAATGTAGGATGCTCTGATATTTCTGATCAATTGAAAGCTGATGCAAGTTCTAATTTTGGATACACGAAAGATTGATTTCTCAGCGTTAGTTATATGTAGTTTAAAACGTATTTCTACAATATATTCTAACGTTCTAAGTGTTAACCTATGATTTACGAGAATACTATTATAGATTTTGATATTGGATCAGATTAATTAGACATTTCACGAATGAATGATAAAATACATATACTTGGATCCAAAAATATGTAGATAATAATACGATAATAATATTATTCTAACATATTAATGAGTTTTAATTAATTTTTTCTTATTTTATTGAATACTGCGTGTATTAAACGAAAGAAATTAAATATTGCGATATTTAATAATAATAATATAATTAAAATGTAAATTATAATATAAATAATTATATATTTTATATAGGATAAAATTATATATTTAATATTGAATAATATTTCATAATAACAATATAATTA